AAAGAAAGAAAGAAAGAAAGAAAGAAAGAAAGAAAGAAAGAAAGAAAGAAAGAAAGGAAGGAAGGAAGGAAGGAAGGAAGGAAGGAAGAAAGAAAGGGAGGAAGGAAGAAAGAGCTAACAAAGTTAATAAAGTGTGAAGAAAATCTATTGCATTTCTAGATACCAAGAACAAACATGAAAACTTAAAAATAATACAATTTGCATTAGCATAAAAAAATCAAATGCTCTAATGAGCTCTAGTGAAAGATGCACGGGACCTCTGCACAGACCTACAAGATGCCAGTAAGATTTTTAGAGACAGGTAAATAGAGGAACATACATTTTCATGAATTAGAAAATTTCATATTTTAAAGATGTCTGTTCTCCCCAAATAGAAATGAAGTTTCAAAGAAATCTCAAGTTTCAAGAAAATCCCCAGCAAAATTTCCTTTGGTGGAAACTGACAAGCCAGTGTGAAAATGTATAGTGAAATGCAAAGAACTGAGATGAATTCAGACAAATAATATGGCATTGTTGCCAGGAAAAATAAACATTGTTGCAATGGAAAAGAACTGAGGTCGGAAATAGACTCATTTATCCTCACTTGATTTTCAACAAAGGCACTACTGCGAAGTCATGGGGGAAAAGCATGATTTAAAAAAAATTTTAAAAGATGGTAAGATTAATTGGATATTCATATGGGAAAAAAGAAATCTTGACCCTCCGCTTCACATCACACATAAAAACCAACCAGATATTTTGTGGACTTTATGTCAGAGGTAAAACAATAAAGCTCCTAGAAGTAAACAGAGGATAATATTTTCATGACCTTAGGGCAGACAACACTTGTTAAACAGCACATAGAAAGCTTAAGCTGTAAAGAAAAAGTCTGATAGATTGAACCTCATTAAAATTAAGAATTTTTGTCCACAAAAAGATTTCATTAAGAAGATAGAAAAGAAACTGAAATGGGAAGAGATTGTATCTGTTTCTATAAATCTGTGTCTGTGTGTTTCTTTTATATAACTATATGCAATCTCTATATTTTATGTAGTTATTTATAATATACATAATATATAAAATTATAAAATATGTTATATATAGATTTTATATATATCTATAATATACATAAAATTTATATCTAAATCTATATCTGTATCCAGCATATATAAAGAGCTCCTACAAAACAACAATAAACAACACAAAACTCAATTTTGAAAAGAGGGATGAAAAACTTAAAGAGACATTTCACCAAAGAAGACATCTAAATAGCCGAGAAACATAGTAAAAGGTGCTTAAAAACATGACTCATCAAGAAAATGCAAATTTATTCTCCGTGTGTAACTGTTTGGAACACTTCTGCTGAACAGAATCCCACGTCCAGGCCACGCATCGAAGAGAAACACATACATCTGTACATAAGCAGACGTGTGCCGAGGAGTTCACAGCAGCCTTATTTACAACCACCCCAAACTGGAAAGAACCCAAGCTTTGGTTACCCTGTGTCTTCTTTCCCTCAAGGATGATTCAGGAACAGGAATGTTGAGTGTGTCAGGTCAATCATCATCTCCTGTGGGACTTGGGCGGGGATTGGGGCTTGAAAGTGAAAGGTAAGGCAGGAGTGCGGTAAAAACAAAATGGCCCGTTTCCCACAGGGACCAAGAAGAAATGAGGTGGGTGAAGAGGGACTCCCCAGCCATGCCAGAAACAAGAGCCAATAGGTCGCCAGAAGGGGAAGTGTCAAGACTGAGGGACTTCCCAAGAGGGAACTCAGAAGAAAGGGCTCCCAGTTTACCCCTGGTCTTCAGGGACTTCTGCCCACCTACCTTCCTGCTTGTCTCCTCCCTGATCTCTCCAGTGTCCAGCTGGGGCACCTCCAACTCAGTCCTCATCGCAGCTGGGTCATTCTGTGCCTCCCCACTGCCCTTCAGAGAAGACCTCAAATCCCTTCGCCTAGCATTCAAGACTTTTCAGGATCTGGCCCCCAACATTCCCTCTGACCTCCAGGACCCATCCTGGACTCTAGGTATACCAGATGCCCGACAATTTCCCCAACGTCCCCGTTCACCCCGCTTCCACACCTTAGCACGTGTCCTTTCAGCCACCAGAACTCCCTACGGTCTGTGGTGGCCAGCCAGCCTCCCACTCAGTCTTCAAAATCAAGTTCAAATGACGTCTCTTCTGTCAGTCTTCAAGCTCTCCGAACAAAGAGTATGAGTCACTCTTTCCTCTGGGGTCTATCCCTCCACCAGAGCACACTGCTCGGGGTGTTTTCAGCAACATTCTGACCAACAGCCCGGCGGGGACCATGTGTCTCTTGGTTACTGCTGAATCGCCAGTGGTTAACCAGCTCCTGACACCCAGCAGATGCACAAAGCTTCTGTTACATGACTGACTAAATGAAGCAGATACTTTCTATCATAATGGATTTTGAAGCCTACTTTCAATGTTAAAAACCATGCAATGGGTTTTGGCCAATGTTATTCTTCTTGACTCCTCTTTCTTAAATTTGGTGCACTGAGGATCTTGATGTACTTGATAAGGATAAAAGCTTCACTGCTCTACCACAGGACCTTCGCACATGCCATTCCCTCTGTCTAGAACATTCTTCCTTGTGCTTCTTTGCTTTCTCATCCTCTGGTTTCGACTTCTATGTCGCCTTCTCAAGGAGGCAATCACCACGTGTCCTCTGCAATTCTCTGGGCCACACATCCCTTTGCTTCCTTCCTCGCAGTTGTGACATTGGAATTAGTTTAGTAAGTGTTTGTGTTTATGATCTGTCTCCATCATGGAGCATGAGCTCCCAGAGGCAGGGAAATTTGTCTGTTTCACTCACAAAAGAAAGTATCCGTATTGCGTGGAGTGGGCCCTGGAGCACAGCAGGTGCTCAGTGAGTAGCTAGGGGAATGGTAAATGAAAGGACAAAGCTAAGAATGGCTGTGTCCTGGGGCGCCCGGGTGCTTCAGTTGGTTAAGTGTTTGCCTTTGGCTCGGGTCCTGGAATCGAGCCCCACAGCATCGGGCTTCTTGCTCAGAAGAGTCTTTTTCTCTCTCTTTCTCTTCCCCTCTGCCCCTCCTCACTGCTTGTTCTCCCTCTCTCAAAAAAATAAGTAAAATCTTAAAAAAAAAAAAAAAAGAATTGCTGTGTTCAGTCATACAAGGAGAAGGCCCACAGGCAGCCCCCCACTCCCACCGAGAGACCTTAGTTTCCCCATCAGCTCCATCACACACAGTCCTCGGGAACTTCCCTCCACCCCAAGCAACACCCTCAGCTCCAAGGATCTGAGCAGTCATGACTGCTGTCATCAGAACAGTAACAGGAACTTTCAGTGAAGGACGGTGGGCTGCCCGGGGTCCCACAGAACCTTCTTAGCCAAGCAAGAGCTCTCAGGCTGGGGAAGAATCAGCCTGGTAGCCCTCGATCAGAAAGGAGGCTCTCCCACTAACCCATAGTGGACCCTTAGGCGTATCTCTCCCTCTGTTTGGGGCTCAGTTTTCCTCGCCTATAGAATGGGGCAGTGCCCTGGCCTGGCCGAGGGAGTGTGAGGCGGGCATACTGCAGGTGTGTGGGGAAGGTTACTTGCTTCTTACAAGTGTTTTTTTTTTTTTTTTTTATTTTGCCAGTGGCAAGGGGTGGATTGTGGGTGTCTGAGCCCTGGTGAGCCAGGACCGTGGGGTCAGAGCTTAGTCAGTAGAGGTTGAACACGAGGGGAATGTCCTATCCCAACCTCAGCCTGTGACACCTGTCTGTCTCTCCCTCCCTAGCCTGAACAAGCCTTTCCTACGGGGACTTCTCCTGGCCTGCATAGCCCCTCTCGGCTCCTCTAGACACCCCTCCCTCCAGCCCCCTCACCCCCAGACCAGGACGGGCTAACTGGAAGGCAGAGGAAGAAGGAATGCTTGTGGCCGCGAGGTGAGGGGTTGGGACAGGGCTGGCAGCCTGCCTTCTATTCCCTCCACCCCCACCCAGCAGGACCCCGCCAGCCTGCCCTCAGGCTAGCCAAGTAGAATGAGTGTCATGGATTCCTACCGGAGAAGCTCTGCAGTCCCTGGTCCCAATCTACATCCTCAAGCCCTCTTGGCAGATGAGGAAAGGAGAAGCCCAGAGAGGTCCAGCGCCTTGCCTATGGTCACTCAGTGAGGAAGGACCAGCGCCTGAGCAGGGAGCCAGGCTGGGGATCATTCGGGTGGCTGGACCCTTCTTGGGGGCTGGGGGACCAGCAGGCTAGGCCCCTGCAGCAGGTGTCCCAGCCACTGGGGGACCTCAGGGGGGGCCCCTGCCTGCACCCTGGGGAATATTCTCAGGACGGTTCAGAAGTTCCAAGTTTACTCAGATCTTGCATATGAGCTGTCGTAAAAAGTCCCTTTGGCCAGACGCCAGAGCAAGGAGTGGGGGGGGTGGCACCTGTGAGCCGGGGGGGGTGGAGGTGGGGCCCGAGGGGGGGTGGCAGAGAGGGGCCCCACCCCCACATTTTGTCAAAGATGGGAGAAGCAGATGACCCTCCTCCTTGAAGGGTTTGTTCCTCCTGTCTTCACAGCCTCCTTCCCTCTGCTTGTGAAAGACTCCCTGGGTGACCCTGAAAACCCTACCCCTCTCTGAGCCTCAGTTTCCCCAGCTGTGAAAGGGAGAGTAGGATCACCACAAGAACTTTCGCTCCCTAAGGGCTTAGCATGAGCCAGACACCATGCCCTGTGTTCTGGCGAATAACAAGACAGCTATGACCAGCAACATTTCATGTAAAACATAATTGCTACTATTTCTTGTGAGCCAGGGCTGAGCCCCCTTCCCCTCCTCACAGCGTTGGCCCTGTGCGTCTGCGCCACTGACTCCCCAGGACCTGGGACAGTGCCTGCTACAAGAGCAGATGCTTAAAAAAAATCACGTAGAATAAAACCTCCCAACAAACCGGAAATGGATGTTACAGATGGGGAAAGGGAGGCTCAGAGACGTTGTGTGGCTCACTCAAGGTCACACAGGAACCATGGGGTGAATCTGGGTCTCTGTCTCGTCCTGGCTGACTCCATAGGCCCAAATCCCACCAGCGGTGTGGCTGGTACCCCGGGGTCCCGCACCCCTGACCCGACCACGGGGACATCCCAGGCATCACTCCTGCCTGCACGCATTTCGAAGGCACTGGCTCTCCTCCCTTGAGTCAAGGATGCCTTCTTCCTTTCATTCATTCATTTTTCAGGCACCAGGAAGAAAAGTGGTGCCTCCCAAAGCCTCTGGTGCCTTTGCCTCCTTCCACTTCCTCTCCCTGCCCCCACCCACTGCCCCGCAAGCCCATTATGGCCTCCAACCCCCACCCCCACCCCTCACTGGGCAGGTGGGAGCCCAGGGCTCGGCCCTTGTCTTGTTCCCCCCACCTCTCCTGGCCCTGGATTTTCCCTCCCCTGTGGGATGGTGAGGATTCCAGACACCGTGCCAGGTGTGGAGTGGGTAGGACTCTGCTGAGCCCACCACGGGGAGCAGGTGATCCGGGCTGTCCCTCTGAAGCCTGCCCAACCCCCTCTCAGAAGGGCCCTCAAGGCTGAGAGTCTTGCTTCTATGCGACCCTGCCCGGAATGTGTGGCCCTGCCGTCAAGTAGACCGGGGGACCAAGCGTAACTCCGCATCTCATGGCCACAGGTGACCTGGGATCCTCAATCTTCTCATCTGTGAAATGGGCAGAATGAGGCTCTCGGCCTCAGCTGATGTAAGGATAGTGGGAGATCCTCAGGTGTCAGCAGCGTGCTGAGCCCTAGGGCGGGGGCTGGGGTTGGGGGAGACAACAGAACCATAGAGGCTGCAGGAGGAAAGACTGCAGGTTCCTGAATATGTCTCTGCACCCTCTTCCGCTCTTGGAGACTGACCTTCTCTGCCATGGGCTCCAGGTTCCTTGTGGTTACAAGCTGCCTTCCTGGGCAGACCTCCATCTTTCATGTTCTTATGCCCTCCAATCCTCACAACTAGTCCCACGAGAATAGAAATGTTTCATCCCCATTTTACAGATGGGAAAACTGAGACTCCACAAGGCAGGATGAAGCCCAGAGACTTGCCCTCATTCACCCAGCTAGGGAGTCGCGTGGCTGGCTTTTGAACCCGCCAGGTTTCCACCTCCCCACCCCCACTCCACAAGGCGCTTCTAAAATCCCCACGCTTCTTTTCCCCCAGGGGAACGCAGATGTCTTCCCAGGAGCAGCCCCTGCTTTTTAATGCCCCCTGCCCTGGGTCCCTGCTCCCACTGAGCAGCACTGACCATTCCTTCCGCAGGCCCAACATCCCCACCAGAAGCCTTCACTCCCCCAGCTGCTCTGCCCTGCTCTGCCCGGAAAGTGTCTGTCCTTCCCTCCCCTCCTTTCCACAGGTCACTATTCAACCCATGCTTCAGGGCTCAGCCTCACCACCGCCCCCTGCCCCCAGCTCCCCTCTCCTCCATGGGTCCATCCCCTGGGCTTTCGTGAGAAAGAGACAGTATGGAGGACAAGGTCAGCCTCCGAGTTGCCTGCCCACCCCTCTACGCACGGGTGAGTCACCTTGGGAAAATCGCTCTGCCTCTCAGATCCAGACCTCATTCTTTC